CACCTTGGGGAGCCCCAGTACTCTTAGTGGAGAAGAAGGATGGAACCTTGAGAATGTGTGTGGATTACCGCTCTTTGAACGAGGTGACCATCAAGAACAAGTATCCCCTACAGATGATCAATGACTTGTTTGACCAGCTAGAAGGAGCTAGTGTTTTCTCCAAGATCGATCTTCGATCGGGTTAGCACCAACTGAAGATCCGTGAGAAGGATATACCCAAGACAGCTTTTTCCACAAGGTATGGGCTTTATGAGTATACAGTCATGTCCTTTGGTTTGACTAATGCCCCTGCCTATTTTATGAACATGATGAACAAAGTATTCATGGAGTTCTTGGATAAATTTGTTGTGGTATTCATTGATGACATATTGGTTTACTCCAAGAATGAGGAGGAACACGCTGAACATCTGCGCTTGGTTTTGGAGAAGCTTAGAGAACATCAACTTTATGACAAGTTTAGCAAGTGTGAGTTTTGGCTCAAGGAAGTCGGATTTCTAGGACATGTAGTGTCAGGTGAAAGGATTGCAGTGGACCCTACCAAGGTAGAGTCAGTCACAGAATGGAATGCACCCACCACAGTTGGTGAGATTCGTAGTTTCCTTGGACTTGCAGGATATTACCGGAGATTTATCGAAAATTTCTCCAAGATTGCAAGGCCCATGATAGCGTTGTTGAAGGGCACCAAGTTCATTTGGACCAAGGAGTGTGAAGCCAGCTTTCAAGAGTTGAAGAAGCGTTTGGTTACAGCCCCAGTGTTAATCCTGCCTAACGTACACAAGGACTTTCATATGTATTGTGATGCTTCATGTCAGGGACTTGGAGGTGTTCTTATGCAAGAGGGAAAGGTTGTAGCTTATGCCTCACGACAGCGTCAACCTCATGAGTTGAACTATGCCACGCATGATTTGGAGTTGGTAGTTGTAGTGCATGCACTCAAGACATGGAGACACTATCTTATTGGGAATCGTTGTGATGTTTACATGGATCACAAGAGTTTGAAGTATATATTCACGCGAAGGAGTTGAATCTCAGGCAAAGGAGATGGTTGGAACTTATAAAGGATTATGACATGAGTCTGCATTATCATCCAGGAAAAGACAATGTTGTGGCTGATGCTTTGAGCCGTAAGAGTTATGTTAATACCCTTACAGCAGGAGGTTTACCTCAGGAGTTATGTGACGAGCTTAGAGACCTACAGTTGGAAAAATTTCCCAGAGGTTATGTTGAGGCACTCGAGGTACAGTCCACCTTGTTGGGAAAAATTAGGGAAGCCCAGAAGTTGGACCAAGGTATTGCGGAGATCAAGTAAATGATGAGCAAAGGGAAAGCAGAAGGTTTCGTGAGGATGAACATGGAACCATATGGTTTGAGCAACGAATTTGTGTACCCAATGACCCGGAGATTAGGAAGTTGATTCTCCAGGAGGCTCACGACTCACCATATTCGATACACCCAGGCAACACCAAGATGTATTTGGACTTTAAGGAATGTTTTTGGTGGGCCGGTATGAAAGAGAGAAATTGCCGAGTATGTGGCAATATGTGATGTATGTCAGAGAGTAAAGGCAGAACATCAGAAACCAGCATGATTACTTCAGCCGTTGCCAATACCTGATTGGAAATGGGATAAACTTGGTATGGACTTTATCACGGGGTTACCCAGGACCCGTTCAAGTTATGATTCCATTTGGGTGATAGTTGATCGTTTGACCAAGGTTGCTCACTTCATTCCAGTGAAGACCACGTATACAAGTGCTAAGATGGCAAAGATATATTTGACCAGGATCGTATGTCTGCATGGAGTTCCAAGGAGCATCGTATCAGATAGAGGGACGCAGTTTACCTCAAAGTTTTGGAAGCAGTTACATGAAACTTTGGGTACCAGGCTAGAGTTTAGTACAGCCTTCCATCCACAGACTAATGGGCAGACAGAGAGAGTCAATCAGATTCTAGAGGACATGTTGAGAGCTTGTGCGCTAGACTATGGGTCTAGTTGGGATGATAACTTACCCTACGCAGAGTTCTCGTACAACAACAGCTACCAAGCCAGTTTGCAGATGGCCCCTTTCGAGGCATTGTATGGAAGGTAATGCAGGACACCTTTGATGTGGAATGGAGTTGGAGATCGCAAATTGTTTGGACCTGATTTGATCAGGGATTCTGAGGAGAAGGTCAAGTTGATTCGTGACAGACTTAAGGTAGCTCAGTCAAGGCAGAAAAGTTATGCCGATGCTAAACGCAAGGAAGTGATCTATGAAGTGGGAGATAGAGCATATCTTCGAGTGTCTCCACTTCGAGGTATTAAGAGATTTGGAGTCAAAGGAAAGTTAGCACCACGATTTGTGGGAGCATACAAAGTTCTGGAATGTAGAGGAGAGGTTGCATACCAGTTGGAATTACCAAAGGCTTTGTGAGGAGTTCATGATGTGTTTCATGTTTCCCAGCTGAAGAAGTGTCATGCAGAGATGGCGGACATTCCTTTGAGAGATAAAGTGCCACTGGAGGCAATTCAGTTGGAGAATGATCTGACTTATGAGGAGAAGCCTATTAAGATTCTTGAGACTGCAGAGAGGATCAGTGGCACCAATATCATGAAGTTCTGCAAGGTTCAGTGGAGTCACCACACCGAGGAGGAAGCCACTTGGGAACGAGAGGAAGATCTTAGACAGGACCATCCGGACCTTTTTGCTGGCCAACCCGAATCTCGAGGACGAGATTCATCTTAAGGGGGGTAGGTTTGTAACATCCCAATTTTTATTAAATTTGGATGTTGATAAAATCATTCAATGCATACCATATTTCTTTGCATTTTGGAATTTTAAAATATTCAAACAATATTTTTCCACTCGAGAAAAACACATGAGAGGGGATAAGATGACTTCCTCAAAATATAAAAGAGTGGGAAATTTATTTGGAATATTATTTGAAGTTTCAGAGTTTATTTTGGTATTTATTTTATTTGCAAAAGGTGCATTAGTTGCATTAGGAAAATATTTCCAAAATGTTCTGTGCTTAGGTAAATGTTCATTAGGTTCTAAATATTATATAGTTATTTTAGAAATTACTAGTACAAATGCCCGTGCGTTGCACGGGGCGATCTTTTTTTGTAAAACCTACTCCTACTCCGAGTGCCACTATGCGCCACTTCTTATATCCAAGACAAATGTTGAAACCAAGGTTACCCTCATTCGCTATAAGGTGAAAAATAATAACATCACAACCCATCACCACACACACAATCTGCTTCATCCACTTGAACACGGTAACCAATCTGTCTCATAGTTATCCTTCTTTCCCCTGTTGTTGACATAAGCCGCTCACCTAGTCGCAACGTGTCTGAACGTGGTCAATCTGAAGGCGATGAACTCACCCACCACACTGTCATTGAACCACACTGGCACAAGAGAGCATTTATTATAACTTTAAAACCTAATCTTGCCGAGCTGGACTGTGAGGGCTGCCTTCCACGAATTGCTTCCTAATGTTCGTGATTGTTACATACTGATTTTTTTTTCACAACCAATATTTGTTAATTTGGTAAAATTTGTATAATATCAACCTTCAAATTTGGAGTATAGTAAATGAAAAAAAGATGAAACATAATTGTTTGCAACGGACATCTAAATTGTTAACAGATCACCTAATGATATACACATTTCCACGTATAAATCTTCAATACATTACTACAAAAAAGATCATCTGCCCATTCCGAACGAACTGAGATTTATCAGGAAACCACTCAGCAGCGTAGTAAAATTTGTTCACATTGACAACGTATTCTCCGATTTTCTCTTGAGAATTAAGAAAGATACTAATACAAAACTTAGTTTTTACATCCACATTATACATCTATGCACGCAGATGAAGCCAATGGTAGTGATACAAATAAAAGGCGGCTAATCAATCGGCGTGACTACCGGTCGCCAAAGTACGGCTCGCATGCGAAGCAACCTCACCTTTCTGGGATATGGCATCAAGTTCATGATCGATTCCTATGAACTTCACGACAAACCCAAAAAATGCATAGATGTTTCTTTCATGAAATAAACAATAGATGCGATCATGAGAAGATGCACTACTAAACTGAACCGATAAATAAAGACGATTTAAGCTCGTGCATTGCAATGGGATAAAATGATGGGATGCAGAACCAGCTCTATCATAGGGTTGAGTGTTCGGGGTGCAGAAGCAGCTCCGCCTAGGGTTGAATGCTCTTAGGGGAGGGCGGTAGCAGTAGAGCATTTGAGCTATTTGAGACCAGTGCGCGTGCGTTTTTACATTTTCCTGATAGTATATTTTATTTTCAATAGTAACTTATTGGTATTTCTGGTGCAAGCAATAAATAAGCAGTTGAAAGCACACCAAATACATACATTAATCCACTACTCAATACATACTGGATCACAGTGCTAAAGTCTATTTCTAATTACAGAGTTTACATTTTTTTAGATGATACAAGGCACAACACGTGCTCTCAGGCGAGAGCATAGAGCATTAGTATTGGTGTGCATATGACACAATTACACGGCAAGGCAACGGACTTAAGCATTAGTAGTGGTGTGGATACTACACAATCACAAAATGAAGTACTGCAAGCCAGCGCACGTGTATGTTTACTGATAGAATGCCAAACATATGCATCTCCGTCAGGCATTTGTGCTAGTAAAGAGAGAAAAAGGGAAACTGAATTAGCTTACTCTTAACATTTAAACACTGAAAATAGGAGGGAAAACAGAGGCTTGTGTAAAAAACAGGGAAAACTGAGACACCAGTAACCACCTCATTGATTATGTTAATTATACCTGAGAAACCATTTATCCATCACATCTCTAGAATGTGCAGAGGACCCTCGTGCAGGAGGAAGGGAATCAAGCTCATCAAAGAAAATTACTCATGGGCGTGCTGATCTAGCCTGAAATGGACAGTGAAAACTGAAAACCCGAGTATATGTGCATATTTCATGGCAATTACAAACATGGCTTGTGCAGATGGATATACCTTCTAAAAGATGTCCCTGATATTCCTCTCTGACTCTCCAACATACATGTTTGTTAGTTCTAGACCTTTTACGCTAAGAAAGTTTAATGAACACTCAGTTGCTACTGCTTTCACAAGTAATGTCTAAAAATTCAAAAGTAAACATCCTAGTTAGCATGTATTATCTTTGTTGTCAGATACAACTAACTTTCGAAAAATGAGGATGAAAACTCAATTCAGACAAAGTATAAAACTCAGTACACCTACCTTCCCAGTGCCTGGAGGTCCATATAGCAGGACACCTGATCGTTGAAGCAATTTAGAGCAGTACACCTGATACAGACATAAGGTTGCACTTGTAGAACTTATTTCTTTGGACCTGGGAATCAAAAAGTCAGTAATAGATGATAAAATAGATTTATTTAGGTAGTTGTGAAATATATTTTTCAGCTCCAGTAGTAACAATGGAGATGTCATATTTCAAATAAATAATGGACATGATATTCTACAGTAACAATGAAGATGTCATATTTCAAATAAATAATCGCATGATATTCTACAGTAACAATGGAGATATCATATTTCAAACAAATAATGGATACGATATTCTACAACTGCCAAATATCAGGACAGAACCCAAGAGAATTCATGATTATCCTCACCAAAATATCATTCTAGACTGAATACCTGTGCTACATGCCTCGTTTGACTATATAATTTTGTCGACAATAGAATACATCAGAGTAACAAATTAAAAATTGATAGGAAATTTCCCCATGATCTTCCACTTTTATTTGTCCATGATCATATATTCACCAATAATAACATGCAATATTTTCAATCACTGAACCTAGCTACCCAAATATGTAACTTTCAGACCAGACCAGAGAATTGTTCAAATTCTTGTTGAAATCGAGCTAGCTTTGGTAAAATTCCTACGCCCCAAAGAATCACGCATGGAAAAACCAACACAAGTAAAGATGGTAACTGTGTAGCTTACATTGAGCTTCCAACTTTGATCACTGGTAGCTACAGAGTAAGTACAGAACAAGCTAACGCATTGTCCAGTTAGCATGCAACTGACTCCAACGCACAAGGAGAATTCATTGCCCCAGCGCCTGCAGCCGAAGGCGCTGCCCCTGCGAGCCGTTGCATCCCATCCCGCTGACCATCGTACCCATCCTTCATTGCGCATGGCAGCCGCAACAACTTTTGTCTCCTCCTGGTCCGAGCATGCCCACAACCCGTACAAGCAGTTATTCCCCATCCTCCTTGCATATTTCCCGTCGAAATCAATGACTGCCGGAGAGGAGTGAGGCAAGACGGAGAGGCCTAGAACAGAGGAAGGCGAGGGGTGCACGCGCAGGTTTCTCATTGATGCATGGCATCGGCAAAATGTCCAGCATGCGCCCTGTGACAGCACATCACACTGTAGTATGCCCTTTATTCCTTTGGTTAAGTTTGACAGTGTTGTTTCCATCTTTTGTACACCAGTGTGTGAACCATACTACCGATACTATGACATATATCAAGTGCCTTATCAGAAGAAAAAGCAAACTACTGTAGCTTACACCCTCAATCAAGGCAAGAACATCTGTTTGGGGTTTAATTAGGATATGATGGATTGGATACTATGTATTTTCTTTTACTTTGGATGGGTTCTCTTGTTGTAGATCAGTTGTGTCACCGTGATGATGCACTTGATTCCCAACTGCCTTGCATGCTGTTGTGCAATGCACATGCCCGATACGATGGGCAACCAAAAGATCTAGACAGAACAGAGTTCTGCTATTTGTCATCCATGGGCTCAAGTTTCACTGGTCACTAACTATTCCATTGTTCATCTTCTGATTTCTAGCAATTCTATCAGCTTCATCGCATAGCCTAGTACAATAGAACAAAAGATGCAGGTAATATGTTGAAAATCATGCTTATATTGCATGCCTCTTGCAAGGTTAGCTTTAGTACATACCTCAAATGGAAAACCTGCAGAAGAATTTCCGGTGAAGTGTGGAGCACGTGCGGACGGCGGAAGGTGTTCCGGCAATGCGTCAGAGGCGAGATTGGATGCTTCTGGGGCTGGTTAGGCAAATTAAAATGTGAAGGAAAGCTTCTTCATGACTATAATACCGGGAACAAAGGTGACTGCATGCATCAGAAGGTCTCATCAGCAACTGAGAAGAGCACGATGGCAGATCTCAGCTTTCTCAAGGCATCATGGGGCTGGATCGCAAAATCTTTACCACCAAAATTAAATGCACAACAACAAAAAAAAGTTCAATGCATTAACAGCTGTAAAAAAATCACAACAACCTATTCAACATTTCAGTTGCTAAATTGTCCCATCCATAAACAGACCTACCTATGCACTTACAGCATAGTTTTTGAAATTTTAGGTCTGCTATAAATCAATACCATCACTAAGGTTAAATAATACATATTAGGAGCTACATGCATTTGAAGGAACACCACTCGTGTCCTCTAGAATTTTCACCGTGTCCCAAGGAAACATTGCTCACCTCATGAGGAAACATTGGTTCAGCAAGAAGGAAAGAGCACAAAGAGCTGACACTGAGCTTAAATTGGTTGAGCAAGAGTGTTTGCACTGCAGCCTTGTTTTCAATCTCTGCGCATACTACCATTCCCCTTCCAAAACTAACCATCCTATCAACAGTACTACCAATGTTGCAATCCTTTTTATCCGAGCCAACTGCAGTTGAACCTTGGGCAGAGTCATGTGTGTGGCCGCCCTAATTGAGCACCAAAGCTGAGTCCAGCATTTGTTGGGTGCTACAGCTGCCTCCTTCTCAGCACCGTAGCGGTTGTGCTTCAGGTACCATCCCTTGTTGCGTCTGGCCATGATGATGTGCCTCTCGCTCTGTCCGTCACATGGCCATTGCCGAACACAGCAGCTCCATTGGGAGGTTCAACACACTGCGAGGATTCTAACAATCGCATGATCCAACCTTCTTGGCTCCATGCCCTTCGCTCATCAAATTCAATAGACATATGCGATGTGAAGACGATGGTGTCCTCTAGTCCAGCCGCTCTTGAGTCCGACTGAGCCATCCTTCTCGAGGCCTTCGACTGGCGTATGTGGATTGTCCGTCATCCCCACTGTCCCTGACATCTACCTCCCAGACCCATTGGTGCCGTTGAGGTGGCGGCACTTGCCCGCGATTGGGGCTTATTCCACATCGTCTTGGGGATGTGGAGCTCCAGAGGTGACTGTTGAGCCTGCCAGGTCGACAACGGCGATCACCTCCAGCGGCACCAGATCAGCGCATCTCGGGATGGTGGCGCCTTGAGGAGAGAGGAGTGGCATGGCACCACGTCGCCTGCAGCCGCTGCTCAGGAGGGGCAGATCGAGCGAATTGAGACGGACGAAAAAATGAGTGGAGGAGAAGGGGGCAAGAGCAGAGGAGGGAAGGGGAGGAGAAGAGGGGTGACCGGAGCGTCGGTGCGCCACCGACGGGGAGGCCGGAGAGGTGGCGGATCGAACCCTAGCTCGTAGCACCGGATCGAGCGTCGCCGGGATCGGTCACCTCCTGGCGGCTGGGATCGGGAGGTGAGGAGAGCCCGTGCTTCTGTGTGCTTGAGAACTGCGGGTTGAATATTGGATACAACAGGGGGGTTTTGGAAAACAGCCTAAACGAAACGTTTTTCTCACTTAATAAAGGACTGCGGGTTCAATAAATAAAAAACAAAAAAACTTTTTCACAAAAAACCTGCGACGGTGAACCCGGAGACTCAATCCGTGCTTTATTATTAGGGAGAGATTTTGATGTTTTTATTAATTCATTTGAATTATTTAAGGCCAATTTAGTGTTTGGTTTTTTTAAAAAACAAGCAACGCCGCACGCAGCCTGGACCGAAACTGGGTTCGGCCCAGGAGCACCCCGACCGGCCTAGCTGGCCATTTTGGCCCAAGGCCAACATCCCAGCGCCCGCGCACCTAGAGCCTTCCGCTCGGTCGATCGTGCCGCGCCCACCCTCGCTCCCCTCCTCTCGTTGCCGCTGCCAGGCGGGCCCAACCCATCAGGCCGTCCCCAACCTCCCGCACCACACGGGATAGACATTGCCGCCGCGCTCCCGCAACCGCCGATCGGCCCCCTCGTGGATGAGGTTTATCCGCAGCCCCGTAGCACTCCTAGCCGCGCCTATATAATGGCCCGAACCCCCTCTTCCATCCTCGCCGTCCCGCTTCTCCCCACGCCACCCATAGCCGCCGCTGTCGCCGTTCGCATCTCGCCGGAGCCGTGCCACTCCTTGTCCTTTTTGTCGCCAGTAAGCCACCATGGCCTCCACCTTCTTCGTCAAACATTTTCCCGCGACAACGCGCATCTTGCTGACACCTTTTCCTTGCCTAGGTCCCGCCGGAGACGATGCCCGACCTCGCCGGAGCCCACGGAGCGCCGCCGCCTTTGCCTCGCCGACCCCGATGCCCCTGAGGAGCCCAGGCGCCACCATCCGGATGCCCAAGCCGCGGCGCACCTCCCCATCTTCTTCCCCGACGCCGAGGACCGCCGTAGTCGCTGCACCGCCATCACCCGACGTCGCGCCACCGTCCTCTGCTCGTCGCCGGCCACCACCACCCGCTGTAAGCCGCCGCCCCACTCCCTCCCGTTAGATCAACCACCGACGGCCCAGATTAGATTAGGTTGGTTTTTTTAGTTGAACCAATATGCGGTTAACCGCGGTTTTATTTTTAAAAACTACTGGTCGGTTTTCGTTAGTTGACCGTGCGGTTTTATTTAAACCTAGCATCGGTTTTTATTAGTTAGCCGCCGCCGCTGTTTTTCTTATTTAGCGGTCGTTCGCCGTATAGCCTCCGCAACGGACACTGCTCGGCCAGCCACGAGCCGCCACGTGGCCAGGGACTTGTCTGTGATAATTACTTTCTCTGTTTAGTCCCTGTAATTAGCAGATTAGTCCCTGAACTTAGATTAGCCATAACTTTTTAATCGTAGATCCAAACTCGATGAAACCAACGGCAAATTTTTCGTCATGTTTAGCTCTATCGAGTGGTATCCTGTTTGCAAACTATTGGTAGATTCAAATTTGAATTTATTCAGATTCGAATTCGAACTTCAAATGGCCGTATCTCCCAAACTGAAGCTCCGATTAAGTTGATTCCTTTTTCATTCTGTCACCGTAGCCAAACCCTATCACCTGGACCTTTGTCACAATAATTTTCACACACTAGAATCTAACCTTTAATATTTTTACTAGTATGCATAGTATGCACTATAATTCACATCACTTTTTGAACCATAGGCCTATGAAGTTTTGCACTTAGAATATTTCTGTAGTAGCTTAGTGTGATGTATGTTCATTTGGTTTTTTCCGAGACTTCTTGCTTCGCATGTTCTTCTTGGTTTTCTGAAATGTTTGTTTATCTTCATTTGCAATAGATTGCCCGGAGTGCGAAGCAGAATATTATCAGTCTTTAGAATTCAACCAGCAGTACCAAGGCAAGTTGTATCTTGATCATGTTTCATTACCTATGTTTTTATTATGCACTTAGTTCTTTGCGGTAGGACTGCATGGTAGGAAATTGATGCCGCATGACTATGCTTTTCACCCAGTAGTTCACTGAGGTAGGTCTGAACCATACATTGTCGCCATCGTTTTACATTACGTTGCTTTGCTAAGTAGACGTGGATTGGGGAGTGATCATTGTAAAGTTTGAGTGACAATGTAGTAAATAGGACCTAAGATAATTAATGAACTACCTGGGCGGAAACTTGTTGGAATGGTCGCGAAGTATAGTGGGGCACGCATGGGAAATCCATGGTGGTGCACCACTAGTGGACCGTCCGCTCAGGCTCAAAGACATCAATCGTATTCCCATGTCTAGAAGCTTACGTGTGCAGCCACAAGCCAATATGGGCTCTGGCTTAGTTCAGTAGTTAGTGTGACCCCTTCCGGGATGGGCTAGCAGATGTAGAATGATGTAGGTGTACCGGCCTATCTGTGGGTTAAGGGGGAACATTTTCGAAAGGCTATGTCTTGATCTTCCGATCATGGAGGTGGTCGAGTCTTGTGGGGAAAAGTGCGCAACCTCTACAGACTGTCAACCTAATCGATTAGCTGTGTCCCCTATTACGGACAACTTGAGCATCTAGTAGTGGAAATGCTGGGAGATCTCCTCACCTTTAATTAAACAGTTGTGTTTTAAATGAAACTTGGGAATGGATGGAGTTGGGTTTGCCAACTCATCCTATGCAAATGTGTAGTAGTAGAATAACATCTTTTATAATAGGGAAAACTAGCTTTATGCAAAAAACTAAACTTAGAGCTTTCCACCAGCCAAATTCCATGTACAAAGTAGGTTCATTACACTTACGATGTGACTTGCCAATACATTCAATGTACTGATCTATATGGCTGCAACTTATCACGTTGCAGATATATCCGACGAGGATTAAGGTGCGATAGGTCGATGTACTACACTCAACCTTGCTCGTGGAGTTGGACTCATTTACTACTTTGCTTCCGCAGTATTTGCTTGTTGGCTCTATGCCCTATTTTGTAATAAATGTATTGCTCCTGGACTATCGATGTAATAAAGAGATGTGTGTTATTTCTGTTATTTCATCGAGTACTGTGTGTGCTAGCAAGTCGATCCAGGGACTAGCACGGTAAGCACAGAGACTTTGACTCTTACCGAGTCGGGTCGCTACATATATGCTTTATGAACAAGGGAATGAACTGTATACCATGTCTTTGATCCCAAGGCACTCACGAGCCGGCCTTCGACACTCTCATGAGCACCACACAATTTGCTACACTCTAATTGGTTGAAGCCCCACCTATTTTTGGATTGACACATTGGTCCGATCATTCTCAAATTTGTCGGGTTCAAACTTCCCATGTTCACGGAGGTAATCATGAAACCTCTTCCAAATTGTTGTTCCTTTTTGCTTGGCACCGGGTTTGGGATCTTGTCCAATCTTCATCCAAGCATCGCACATCAACTTGTCCAGATCCTCCGTGTATGCTCCCGTCCTCATGCTTTTCCTCCTCTTTTGTGACCGGCCTTTCTCTACAAGCTATCCTCGAACAACAATGGCTCTCCGCTGATGTTGACACCCTCTCCGCCTTCGGTGTCTTGGCCATCATTGTATTGTCATTGTCTTTGTCGTGGTTGTCTTGGCCATGGTTGTCTTAGCCGTTGGCGTCTTGGCCGTCTTGAGTCTTGTTGTCATCGTACCCTTGGCTGCCCTCATTTATCATCTCCTCCAAGACATCCTTGTAGTACCTCGGATTGGACGACATCAACACGAGAATTTCATCAAACAAGTTGCGAGTATCCAGTAAGGAGACCACCCGTGGGTGCTTCCTTTCAATCCTGGTGGATGATGACCCACAAGTATAGGGGATCTATCGTAGTCCTTTCGATAAGTAGGAGTGTCGAACCCAACGAGGAGAAGAAGGAAATGATAATCAGTTTTTAGTAAGGTATTCTCTGCAAGCACTGAAATTATCGGTAACAGATAGTTTTGTGATAAGGTAATTTGTAACGGGTAACAATTAATAATAGTAAATAAGGTGCAGCAAGATGGCCCAATCCTTTTTGTAGCAAAGGACAAGCCTGGACAAACTCTTATATAAAGGAATGCCCTCCCGATGACACATGGGAATTATCGTCAAGCTAGTTTTCATCATGTTCATATGATTCGCATTCGGTACTTTGATAATTTGATATGTGGGTGGACCGGTGCTTGGGTACTGCCCTTCCTTGGACAAGCATCCCACTTATGATTAACCCCTCTTGCAAGCATCCGCAACTACAAAAGAAGTATTAAGGTAAACCTAACCATAGCATGAAACATATGGATACAAATCAGCCCCTTACGAAGCAACACATAAACTAGGGTTTAAGCTTCTGTCATTCTAGCAACCCATCATCTACTTATTACTTCCCAATGCCTTCCCCTAGGCCCAAACAATGGTGAAGTGTCATGTAGGCGATGTTCACATGACACCACTAGAGGAGAGACAACATACATCTCATCAAAATATCGAACGAATACCAAATTCACATGACTACTTATAGCAAGACT